CACCTGAGTCAAACATGAACTACCATCTCAGGTGCCTTCAATCCAGACCCAGAGAAACTGACAAAGAGGGACAAATCCCTATCACCAAATGCTTCTCAGACAGCACATGGCTCTGGAAGAAGAGCTGGGGATGAGTGATTCCCACACCAGTGGGCTGGGAGGATTCCTGGAGCTAAAAGCACAGATACCCTCAGACCCCAAAGCAGCGTGAGGAGCAGCAACTGGGGAGCTGGAGACGGTGACATCTTCTCAACTAAAGACAACCGAAGGAATCAATCTTACTCTCAAAGACATAAATTCTGCAAACAACCTGGTAAGAGTCACAAGTGAGCACAGCACCCAGGGAATCCAACCCAGCCCTTCTGGAGGGGGAGGACTTAACCCAACAGCCCACCTGGCTGCTCACCCACTGCCTCTGAGCTGAACAAAGTGCAGCGTGGGTGCCTCCTGATCGAGACAAAATTGCCTAACAAGAGACAATTATGTGACATTACCATTAAAAGCAGTGTGTGACAAAAAAAGCTCTGAGTCTGTGTATCCTGAGGTCTGCAAACCCCTTTCTCTACTTTTGTGCTAAATAGGTCTCATTTAGCCCATTTGTTCTGTCCCAGGCAGGCAAAGCGAAAGCAGGGTTGATCGATTTGTTAATTACAGTAATTTTATCTTAAATAGAGACAGCTGAGTGTTCATCAAGTCACAACTCTGCCTGCTACTGAGAGCCCTACCCCCTGCTCAATAATTAGGGATAATAAGTGGCTCATAATAAATGCAACCCACAACAACACTGAGCTCTGAGAGGGTGATGCAGAATCAGGAGGACTATTAGGGAACCCCCAGGTCTATTTCTCCTTTTGAAGAAAACAACGTAAAATCTTTAATTGTCTCTCTTACAAACTCTGAGACAGCTCTGCCAGTTTGTTGTAAGTAAAAGGCAATTATTGCACGTTGTGGTGTGCTTGTGTCCAGAGAAGGCTGAACAGTGTCACCAGGGCAGGTAAGGGTGGCTCTTTCCTCCTGCACTCACTGGGTGCATGCAGAAAACTGAGGCGGGAGGTGACACCAGTGGGTTATGGATAGCCACACTCCTTGGGAGTTCTAAAGCTCTGGGTAAGGCTTAAAAAAATTAAATTTCATACAAGGCATGAGCGGTTTGTGCTCATCTTGGAGCTTCCATCCACACACATGGACAAACAAGGAATATATTCAGCACTGAGGGATCATCTCACCCTTCCAGCACAGAAAGGACATGCTGGCAAAAGCTGAAAGCAAGGGAAAATCAACATTTCATCCTCATCCCGCACAAGATAGGGAATTTCTGAGGGAGGTCTCTACTACAGCCTGCCAAGAGCAAGGTTTGGGATGAGTGGGGAGAGTGCAGCAGAACTCATGTGCATCTGTGTCTGTTCCAAACCCTGAAAAACAAACAAAATGACACACAGCCCACAGAGGTACACCCACACCCTGCATTTCTGTTGGGTGTCTTCCTCATTTCCTGCTCTATCTCCTGGGAAATTACCCCTGCAACTTTACCAGCTAGAAAAGTGCAGAGGGCCAAGATGGTCACAGAGATGAAAACATCACCCCTTCCAAGGACTGAGGAGAACAGGAACACCTTCCTCCACTCCCATTCCTTGGGTCAGCCCCTGGCCAGGGCTGGAGAGCAGAGCTTAGCATGGAGGGAAAGGCTCAAACCCCTGAGCCCAGTGGGTCCTGCCAGGTCCAGGTGTGGGGAAGGACTTTGGCAGGGGAGGTCACCAAATCACACTGTTCTGGGGAAGGACAACCAGCACAAAGCTGCTGTGCCACCACAAACAACAAAAAAACCCATACAAACCTGAGATTGGAGGGATTAGAGACAGCCCAGGCCTTTCCCCAGCTGGTAAGGCAGAGCAGCTGCACATTTTCTTTTCCAGTGACTTAAAACATTGAACTTCAGCCTCTGTTTCCCCCCACAATGAAGACATGTGCAGCCCTCATGTGCAAACAGCATTTGGAGAGAACTTTAGGGCTCCATCCTCTCAGCATGCAAAACCACTGATGTCATTTGTCTTGTTTTCAGCACTGGGGAGTACATGGGGGTAAGGAAATAATAGATTTAATCAAATGCAGTTGTGTTTTATTTACAACAATAGTTGCTGCCACTTGCATTTATTGGAGCAAAGAATTTACTTGTGACATTTCCCTCCAAGAGCTGAAGCTTCACTTGCTCTTGTGAAGACTCTGTATTCTTGCAAATACTTAAGGCAAACTACTTTTTAAAAATCATTATTATTATTTTGATATTTCAGTTCCACTTCATCCACAACTACGTTCAACCAACATTTGCAAGATTCTTTTATGCTCTGTCCCTTATCTCAGCACAACATACAGCTGTATTCAGAATAAATCCTGGGCTCCTGTTCTGAGCATGGGAGAGCTGTGTAATGATCAATCACAAAAGCCCTTGGGGATGGGAGAGATTAGCACTTTGATACTGCTGAAGATGAATGGGTGGGGTGAGTTTGATAAACTGGTGTTTTCCTCAGATAATTGCTCTGGATGCTTTTTGAAGCTGCTTGGATCCTCCTCCCCCTTTCTTTGTGCGTCTGGGTAGGGGAGCAAGCCCTGCTTTTCCAGCAGCACTGCTGGACAGACACTGCACTGCTTTTAAACAGTTCCCAGTGATCCATTTCATCACTATTAAACAATTTTAGTCGTGATTTAACCAAAGATCCAGGCTGGATTCCTGCTATTCCTGGCTGCTCCAAGCCCCAGAGCACAGCTGAGCTGAGCAGGACTGAGGGGTGGGAAGGAGATTTCTTGTGTCAGTGTTCACAGGGGTCTTACGTTGAGGGAAGAGATGGAGATCTGACTCCATATTTCAGAAGGCTGATTTACTATTTTATGATATATATTATATTAAAACTATACTAAAAGAATAGAAGAAAAGGTTTCATCAGAAGGCTATCTAAACTAAGAATAGAAAGGAATGAATAACAAAGGTTTGTGCCTCGGACAGAGAGCCAGAGCCAGTTGGGCTGTGATTGGCCATTAATTAGAAACAATCAACATGGGCTAATCACAGATGCACCTGTTGCATTCCACAGCAGCAGATAATCAATGTTTACATTTTGTTCCTGAGGCCTGTCAGCTTCTCAGGAGGAAAAAATCCTAAAGAAAGGACTTTTTATAAAAGTTGTCTGTGACAATTTCTCACAGGATTTGGACACATTTCCTCAAGCTGAAATCTTGGACCACTGCTCTTCTTCCTTCAGAAGTCCTTGGTGCTCTCATCCTTCTTTCCTTCTGCTCCCATCCACCTTTCCTTGGGCTTTTTATACCCAAATCCAACCTCCTCTTCCTCCTCCTGGAGCATCCTTCTGCAGCAATGCCACAGGACCAGCCAGAGGAGCTGCTCCTGAAGCTGGACCACAAAACTCATCCTCTTCATCCCTCTTCAGGCACGAGGCAAACCCTGCTGCATTCACAGATGTGCTACCATTTCACTTGTTCTCAAGCACTAATGAAAATGCAGCCAGGAGATTTTACTGTGTTTTTATTGTTCCACTGAATAACTGAAATTTAAATACTGAATTAAAAAATCATAAAAAAGGTATTAAAAGCCATCCTTCAGGAGTGTGTTGCACATCATTGACTGAAAAATTTACACTTTTTGATACAAAGATAGGAAAAAAATTTTAAAAGCATATCCATGATCTGGAAAGATCTGTCTTGTTTTATTTATTTTTTTAACATTTCTTTTCATATTTAAACCTGATATTTATCTCATGAGAATCTCCCATTAACCTTGTTTTTCACAGCACTGATTCACATTGTTTGGTGTTCAAAAACCCCACTCATTTGTAGTTCATTGCAGCAGTGATGCAGTCTTGACCCCTCAATATACATGGACAGAATATTTAATAAACCAGCATATGAGGGGTGGAAAAAATGCAGCATTGTGTGATTTGCAGGGTGCAAAGGAACTTTGAGCTCACAGTGATACCTTTGGTACTTCTCAGGGTATCACATCTCTGGCATTTCCTCTTTGCCATCTTTACTCCATCACTGCCACAAAGAATTCCAGAAGGGATTCTGAACAGGTACCTTTGGTTTTTAAAGCCCCAGTTTCAAGCAGCTTGATCTTTCCAGAGACATCAATCACTCACTCAGAATCAGGCTCTTTCAGGCACAATTTAAGCCCTATAAAAGAGGCATCTCAAGAATTGTTGACACCTGGGTAAGGGTTGGGAGGTTCTATCACCGGTTCTTAAGAAGACATCCATGAAGGTGATCCAGCCAGTCAATGCATCTGCATCATCTCAACCAAAAAAGTATAGACATACTCTCTAACAGACGAATAATTTTAGGATATCTGCACCACTCACACAGAATTCACAGAAAGGATTTGGACTGTGGCTCACCTGTTCCTCAAGGATCTCAACCACCAAGAGGATTTAACCACAAAAACAGAATAACCACAAAATGAAGAACAGGATCTAGGAGTTTGAGATAATGAATAAAGAAAGCTACACTTCCTCCTGGGGACAAAAAAAAAGAAAAGGAAAGGAGGGAAAATTCAGATTGCAATGGAAACAAACTCCTCTAACAAAAGAAATAATACTGGAGATTGTCACTAGTGCAGCTGGGATTTGGCAAATGAAATACTTTGAGTACACACTTGCAGGGCAGCCCTGCTTCTGCCACGTGAATAAATATCCAACCATGTTTACAACAAACAGTATTTAGAGAAAGAAGTCCACATTTCCAGACAGTCTGGGTGTTCCACCTCTCACACTGCACTGTGGGGTCCCTCACGTGAGGTATGTCAGCATCACCACAAAGGAAAGCAACATTTCTGCACTCTCCTCACAGGTATGGTGCTCCTGGAGCTGAGGCTGGATGATGATGATGATGATGATGATGATGATGATGATGATGATAATGATGATGATGATGATGATGATGCAGCAGCAGGGTGTGAGTGTCCTGCTCTGCCCTCACTGTCCAACCCACTGTGCCCAGGCTGTGCTGGGTGCAATGGGAATGTGCAGCCAGAGCAGGGAGGGCTCAGCCCAGCTCAGCCACCTCACAGCTCAGGGGAGCTTTGTTGATATTGAACAAACACATTCACACAGAATCTTCCAGAAAGAAGTCCAGTTCACAAAGCCAGGTCAGATTACCAACCTCACATCAGCTTCAGCATATTTCCTGTGTTGTCTGTTGATATTTAGCTTGTCCATCAAAATAAATGCATGTTTGACCCTCATCAGTGGTAATTTGGGTGTGCATTACCAGCATGGGACAGGCACCTTCCTGTCACACTGAACATCTGAAAGGCTGCTGCATTTTCCACACCTTTTTTCAAGGAAAGTTATATTTTTATGTTGCAAGTATGTGTTTAACTGCAGTCATGAAATACATGATGTGCTGGTGTCACATCCCATCTGGCCTTTTTGGAAACATCCTTTCTCATTCTTCAAAGAACAGAACAGGACCTTAATAGTGAAGCCCAGGATCATAAAATCCTCTGGTGAAATGCCACAGGCAATCATGGACCTTACCCAAGGGATGTCCTTAGTACCACTGCAGCATTTCATTGTCTCTCCCCCAAAAGAAAGAGCAAATCCAGGATGCACAAATGCCTTCCACCATATTCAAGATAGTCTTTTTCTTCTTCAGTTCCATCTTTGCTGCACAACCACTGCAGCTTTGCCTTCAGGGTTTGTTTTGGGGGATATTTTGTTTAGGAACAGCCATTCCCCCTGCAAACTCTGCTACACCATGATAATTGCCGTTTGTTTCAGGCCACTGTGCTCTCACTGCAGCTGCCATGGAAGCAGTTCATAAAGGTGCTTTTCCTCCCAAGAAACAAGCAGTGTCTGCTCTGACACTGCAACAGGAAAGTCTCTATTTCCACACCTTCCAAACACTGCAACCAAGGGCTTTGTTTTGCTCGTGTTTTCCTTAGAACATCCGAGGGCAAGATGGGTTTTGCTTAATTATCCACTCAGCATGGGGGTTGATGTGGTACAAGTCCAAGAGGTAAGTGTCTGGGTCCAGGCAATGTTCACCTGTTAAAACAAGAAAAAACCCACATTTTTAAGTATCCTTAGTCCTTTAGCTGCTAGATTTGGTTTTTGTTTGCTTTTGCCCCCACCTAAAAACTACGATTTGTTCACATTCATTTCCATATTATCTTTCAGAAGCATTTCCACAAATATGATCTAATTGCTTTGAGAGGAAAGAGGGAAGATGTACATTAGATATTAGGAGGAAATTCTTCAGTCTTGGGGTGGTGACGCCTTGGCACAGTTGCCCAGAGAAGTTTTTTAACTACCTCCTAAAAGAAGCTAAGCATAAAAACTGGATATCAGAGTCTTTATTTCAGGTACTATTTGTACTTACCAATATTGCCTCCCACTTCATACAGGAGCAGGTTTGTGCACTCTGTGGAGTTGTTACTGCAGAAAGAAAACCACACTGAAGGTTAAATCTCTGCAAAGACAGGTTGGGTGGTTTAGTAATATTCCTTCAAAAGGGTTGTTTGTGATTCAGAGGCCAGCAATGATCAGAGGCCATGCACAGTGCAGGACACCCAAAATTGGCAAAAAAGAAAACAAGGCAAGCTGTTGGTGAGCTGGCCCATATCCAGCCAACTTCTCCTCACCCTCCTTGCCTGGACACCTCTGGGACACAGAAGAGGCACTGCCACATCACCCACCAAACACAGCCTGCAGCAGCTGGGACAGGGGCAGGAGCTCCTCTGCTCCTTTTCTGGCTTAGTTCAGCAATTCACCACAGGAGCACAGGAGGGAATTGCAGAGTTTATTTTAGGAAATCCCTACATTAACATAAGCACACTGGAATTACTACTCCAGGCAGGGATACAGGTGATGCTTTTCTGCAGAAAGGCTGCAGGGGGTTTTGCTTGTCAGGGTCAATGTTGTTGCCTTTTCCCTTCCCTTCAGCAAGGATTCTGGAGTTCATTTGCTGTCCAGCAGCCCAGAGGGCACCACTGACCTCCTGACAGCCTGAGCATTGGGAGGAATCACTCAGAATAAAATTTGCCTTCCATCCAGCTCCATTTCCTAAGCTTAGAACAGAGAACAATCTCTCTTCATGACTCGCTGTCCTTCCACCTCACCTCCACCTCAAGACAGAAAACAGCAGCTGGATCACTCAATCCTTTTTTCTTTTTTAAGCAGAGAAAAAAAAGCCATTTACCATTTGAGGAGGTTGACAGTGTTAACAATATTCCAGCCATTCTGGCACAGGTTCTTCTGAAACTGCCTCAGGACGTCGGCAACCCTGGTTGCATTGTTCAAGTGCACCTCCAGAGAGTCCTTCAGGAGGAGTGAGGCGTGGACTTTCACAACCTTGGAAGGCTGAACAAGGCAGGAAAAAGAAAAAAGTGCTTAAAGAAAGACCCTTATCAGGCAAAACATAAATTTTCAAAATAAATTGGTGAGTGTGAAGAATTAAACCTGTTCAGAGAATTTAGGCTTGTTTCTTACAGTACAGGTTGAATGGAAGCACCAAGGTGAGCACTGTGAATAAATCATCAATGTTTTGTGTTGTGGCCACGAGAGGAGCCCTGTGCTCTCCATCAGCGTGTGCTGCTGCTCTCTGCTGTTCAAACGCAGCACTGACACAAACTGGGATGAAAATGGGATTTGTCAGAAGGAATTCTGACAAACTGTTTGGCACGAGTGTGGATGACTTCTCTGAAATTCACTTAAATTACTTGGAAAGGACTTTTGAGATCTAGGCTGCAGGCCTCTGAATTTCAGAAAGGTCCTTTCCAAAGAAAGGAAGCACCAAGTGATGTGCCATTTTAACAGACATTGTAGAGCAAAAAGAAAATTAGGCAATTCCCTGCATTTATGCTTTAAAAATGAAAAAAAATCTGCTTTTATCACAGCAGACATATCTGCTCCAACACATGGGGCACTCAAAGCCATAAGAATTCTGCTCTTAACATGGGGGAAAATAAAATTTCTGCTCCTGATCTCTTCCCTGCTCTTAACCAAGTGTTTTGTAGCCTGAAATGTATTTAATGCTCTTGTTGTTGAGATCAGTTTTTACCACAAAAGCGTCTGGGAAACTGTTCCTCATTATTCTGCTTTTTATTGTCCCTCTGTCTCTTTTCAAGGGTATCACCCCTTTCATCTTTCTGAGTTCTCAGTTAAACATTTGACACTGCCACACAGGGGGTTCCTGGCTCACCTCTCCCTGGTTCTTTTCCACCTTGTCTTTATCAGCGTGAATCTTGCGCAGCAGATTTTTGATCCTCTTGTCACAGAACTGGTACCTTCTGCTGTTGCTCTCGTTCAGCTTTCTCACCTGAGCCACCAGAAAAGAGGAGACCTGGGCAGGGTGAAAATAGGAATAAAATCAAGCAGAGATAAGGATGTCATTTAGGAACCTGATCATCACTTTAGCTCCTTAAATAGACAAAAATCTATGTACTTTTAGGTAGCTTTGGAATTCAGACAGAGGTTTTGCTCACAGATGTGTAATTACTCTGAAACTTCCAAGGCTATCCCTTTCCCTATCCCAATTCTAACAAGACCCAAGACATTGATGTCCCAGACCACCAAATTCTTGTAGGACTCACAGTCCAGAGCAGGTCCTGGTAATGGATCATCATCCGCACCACGTCAGCCGCCCCCTCCGCCAGCTGCTTCTCCTTCCCCTCGGGGATCTTGTTTGGCAGCCCCTTGTGCATGAAGAGATTTGGGGCCATGACTGTGGACACGTTCCAGAGGTTCATTTTGTTGTTTTTTTCCCTGGCAACCACCTTGCTGAGAAACTCAAGAAGGGCCTGAGAGGAGGGAAAGAGATGTAAGCCATCCATTACTAGTAATGCTCAAAAAATGTATGCTAGTAATGTCATCCAATACTAGTAATGCTCAAAAAACTACCGTGGCAATTGCTGGAGAGATCATTAATTAGCACTTTTTCTTGATATAGATCAGCAAATCCCATTTCTCCAGTCAGGAAGTGGAGTGACCAATTTCTAAGACTAGGATAGCAACTAATAACCACACCAAGAGTGGTTTATCCAGTATTTATGAATCAGGAAAAACAGTATGTGTGGGAAACAGATGAGTTTTTACTCCTTGGCAGGTGGTAATTTATAAATTCTAGCTGTAAAAGTTTCTGAATTCAAAGATGAACACCCTCTTTCAGTGTCCCCTCAAAGCCATTCCCAGATGTGGAAAGCGAAATCTTTTTGGATTATCCCTTTCACCTCACACTACCACCAGAGCCATGACAGATCATCTTTGACTGAATTATATATTCCAGTGCACTAAATGAAGTTCCCAGGGTGCTAAGTCAGCCTTACCTTTAATATCTGAGAGCTGAACTACTCAGGAGGAAAAGAAAAAAGGCAGCAACAACCACCACAGCTCTTATAAAGCACAGCAAGGCAGAGGTGGTGACTATTTAAAAGCCGTGTAGCTGGGGGAATGGCTTAGTGGTCACCCTGAAGTTCTGGGGGAATGGTTGGACTCAATGATTTTAAGAAAGTTTTGGGGTTTTTTCAATCTAAACAATTCTGTGATTCTATGTTTTACCAGCTAAATCAAAAGCAAGCAGTTACCTTCAGAGTGTTTCTGTTGGACTCTGGCAGAATCAGGATCAGGAGGTTTAGAGCTTGCAATCTTTGCTTCAGGTCTGGAATATCTAGAAGAAGAGTAACAACAGGACGGAGGATTCAGGTTTCTGACCCTTCTTTTTGAACATAGGAATGCTCCAAGGAATGAGACAATTACTTATTGAATGGTTGGTCATCTAGAATTTGAGACCTTGTTTCACAGAAGCAACTCAAACTCATACTGTCCTTAAGAAGGGAACTACCCATGTTTTTGAAGACTGACTCATTTACTTTAGAGTACACAATCAACCAGCAACTCTCATGCCCTGGAAGAGCAGCAAAAGAACCCATAATTCTCCATTTTTTGAACAAAGAACTTGTGCACTCAAGATTAAAACATCCAAACTCTTAGTTTGCCCTTCAGGATCTTAAATCTCTAAGGGAAGCACACATACAAGAGGTTAAGCTCAATTATTAATCTCACTAGTGAACAAAGAAATGTGCTTGCGGAGCAGCACACTACCTGCAGGCTGTGTGCCCTGGCCAGCTCCCACAGCTCAGTCTGGGTGTCACTACTGATCAATTTGTCCTGCAAATGGCAGCAACCTTGCAGGCTGCAGTGACACAGAACTGAAGCCCCCAGCGCAGCGCTGCTGCAGAAAGGTGCATTCAACTGCAATGACTGCAACCCTCAGCTGCGCTGTGCTGCCATCACCACAGGCTCCCAACAGCCCTGACAGGGCAGCTCTGCACAGCCCAAAGCGGTGCTGGCAGGCAGGGCAGGCACTCACTCTGAACAGCAGCAAAGGCAGGCAGGTACTCTGCAGTCAGCAGCGGGGCCGGCAGCTCGCGGATGAACCTCTTGAGCAGCCCCGACACGTCGTTCTGGTGCACATCATCCCAGCGGAACAGCCCGCTGTAGAAGTCCCTTTCCAGCTTCTGCTCCAGGCTCTAGCAGAGAGATGGAATTTATCACATGCTTTAGTGAGCAAATGTGAGAGAAATTTTGTAGCTGAGCACTGGGAGGGCGAGACATTGAAGAAAAATGGTGCAGAGAGCCTCAGCATGTGACAGTGTTCACAGGGGTTTTTGGATTGGGGAGGAGATGAGGATCTGACTCCATGTTTCAGAAGGCTGATTTATTATTTTATAATATATATTACATTAAAACTATACTAAAAGAATAGAAGAAAAGGTTTCATCAGACGGCTAGCTAAGAATAGAATAGAAAAGAATGATAACAAAAGCTTCTGTCTCAGACAGAGAGTCTGTGATTGGTCATTAATTACAAACAAACCAACATGAGCCAATCACAGATGCACCTGTTGCATTCCACAGCAGCAGATAACCATTGTTTACATTTTGTTCCTGAGCCCTCTCAGCTTCTCAGGAGGAAAAATCCTAAGGAAAGGATTTTTCATAAAAGTTGCCTGTGACACCAGCACACGCTGCAGTATTTCCCAGCATTGGGTGTTTGTGGTTGTACTGGGGAGGGGATGAGATAATTCAGGTCATTCAAACACTTGGTTCAGCAAATGTTTCCTGATCACCCCTGACACTTCCAAACAATGCTAAAGGGCTCATACCTTAATCCTGGTCTGGGACCCAGAAACTCTCAGGATGCCCTCTGTTTCAAGCCCTCTCTTCTCCAGGCAGGACAGCAGCTGTTAGAAGGAAAAACAGAAAGCTCTTAGCACAGAGGATGAGGAGTCAGCCTGCCCTTATCACAGACTCGTGACTCTGAGGACTAGAGGTGTGAATGAAACCAGAACAGAACTTACTGCCTGGAGCAGCAGAGGGACCTTGGTGTTGGGCAGCAGCTTTTGGTCATTTTCCAACAGGGTGTTGAGTGGAACTCCAAAGAGTCTTTTCTCTACAACAGAAACAACATTTCCACATTGCTCTCAACATTTCAGTCACAGCTCTAACAGAGGTGTAAGGGATAAATCTGTGGACTGCAGACTTGTAAACACTGATACTGGAGAAAGAGAGTTAAACAGGACAATTGCAGCCAGACATAAAGGTGGTAGTAGGTCTTGATGTCATGATCCACTGACTTCCAGAAGAAATCCAAAGAAAACACACCTGTCACAAGGTTTCTTATCAAAGACCCTCTGTTCTACCATTTGAAACACAACTGATGAGTGTATGATGAGAAGATGAATGTAAAAAAACAAAAAAAAGCACAAAAAAGAGTATAACTAACCTGTTGTTTTCAGTTTTGCTGCTTTATTTCTCTTCAGCTCAAAGCCCAGGATATCACAGAGAGCTGTAAGTTCAATGAGGGCCAGTGTGGGGATCTTCTTCATGTCCTGAGCTGACAGATCTCCAATCCTGGTCACTCCTAGTCTGCCCTTCGGGATCTTAAATCTCTAAGGGAAACACACACAAAAGATTCAGCTCAAATTATCTCTCTTAATCCCACAAATGAACAACTTTTGCTGTAGTCTTATTTTTTTTTAATCATAACCAGGCATCTGTTCTTCCTGCTGTGTTCAAGACCAGACATATGCCCATAACTACTCCTACTCAACCACCAGCTGAATAAATATTTTCCCTTTTCAATATTGCTCTTTAATCATACTAGAGATGCCAGTTTTTCTAAGTTAAAGGCAGCCTGATACCCACCCCAATCTACTTGAATTTTGGATTAAAGAGCAATTCATTTGCAGAGAGGAGAAAACTTTAGAATTATGAGTAAGAAAGTGCACTTAGTGACTGTCCTCTTTTCAGAGGAAACAACAAGGATGTGTGTCAAAATAGGAATTTTCAGATAAAAGCATATATTATCCTCTACACAATGTCTATCCTTGCCCAATGTTGTAAAGATAACAGCACAGCACACCCCAAAATACCACCAAGCACATTCCCATTGCCTTGTACCACCTTGACAAGCCAAGGCTGATAATTCCAACAAGATAAATTCCTGCAGTGCTTACTGTTAGGGCATTTCCATCCTTTAACTTCCTGGATTCAGACAGGAAGGATCCCTTGAGCAGGACAGCTGCTTGCTCTGAGTAGGCAACATCCATGTTGAACACCTCCTCCTTCCCAGGGTTTCGAACTGTGCAGGAATAATCCTGGGTTTCTGCTGCAGAGGAGAAATTGCCTTGAATTTCTGCAAGTCAGGAAAGCAAATGTGCTATAAATGCAGTTTGAGACGGGTTTGGTGCCATTGATTTTAAAAATCTGGCAGTAACATATGGAAAGCGTGTCCCCACAGAACAGAATGATCTGTAGAGTAAGATTCTTCCCTGAAAGGGTGGTCAGGCATTGGAACATGGGAACAGGCTGCCAAGGGAAATGGTGCAGTCACCATCCCTGGAAGGGTTAAAAAACCGTGCAGATGTGGCACCTGGGGACATGATTTAGTGGTGAACACGCTGCTGCTGAGTGGTTGGACTTGTGATTTTAGAGAACTTTTCCAAGTTTAATGAGTTTATGATCAATGAGAAGTCACAACATTATGGCTATAATTACCAGGTCACTGGTAAGGCAAAACCTCAGCCTTAAATTAAAGGACACACCTATGGCTAACCTCTCTTTACACAACTGCTCATGGCATTTATAAGGTTTCACTGGCATTACTAAATTGATTTTATTTTCATCTTTCAGTTGCTTTATCAAGAATTTAAAATTATCAGCTTGAGTGACAATTCTAACAATGATGGACCTTGGAAAAGTTTATAAATCCACAGGTCTGAATTATCACATGAAGAAACCCACAACCCAACACAAACAAATTTCAGATACTGCATATAGTTAAATATGTGTGGGGCTTTCCTTCCAGTTCTAGCCCTACTTCAGATCCTACTCTGCATTTAAAAACTTTCCCCTTACTTCTCTGGGTGTTTGAAGTCCGTAGATTGTGCCACAGTGGATCTGTGCTGGGCTCCTCTTTCTCTGCTGCTGTGTCCTGAAAAATTAGAAAGAAGTTGTTTTAGCCACAACCAAAAGAGCAGAACCACAGGAAAAGAGCTGAAAAGCTGGTGGTTATGAATTCTTTATCAAGTTTAGAAAAAGATTAAAAAATCTAAATAAACCAACCAACCCTCCCCCCCAAAAACAGGCGGTGTTAGTCTTTCTCCAGGAAAAGCTGGTGGTTATGAATTCTTTATCAAGTAAAAAAAAAAAAGAAATTAAATAAACCAACCAACCCTCCCCCAAGAAAAAAGGCAGCATTAGTCTTTCTCCAGGATTTCTGCCTCTACAAGGTCAGCTTTTCAGAACTGAATTTGGGAAGTGCTCTTGTTTTGTTTAATGGTGATTTAAAGTGTCACTGGAACCAAGACAACACAAGAGGGCTCCAAACGATGCCAGTGCTCCACGAGGCACTATAGAGCAGGAATGTTACTCCAGCCTGGGAGGGCTGTGCATCTGCAGGTCTTTCAGTAACTCCTCAACGCTGCAACCAGCATTTCTCCAGTCTCAATCTCTTGAAGTGAAAGGAAGACAAGACATACCAGGAGCCTGTAGCCACATTTCTCTTCACAGAGAAAAGCAAGGCACAATTCTTCCCAAGAATATTTCTGGGATACACAATCTCTGAACCTCAGAGAAAGAAAACACAATTCTTATGATTTTCTGTGCCTGTGTTGTGCCAAAGTAGAATGCAATATGGAGACTGTTTACCCACAGTGATGGTGGTTTTTTTCCTTGGCCTGTCAGGGCCAGGGGTGTGTGTGTGGGTGCTGGGACAGTCGGGTGACAGTCACAAGATTCAATGCAGTGTGAGCAGTGTGTGTGTAGTTGTGTGCAGGGCTGAGTGCTTGGCAGGTTGAGTTTTAGATGTATAGAATATTCTAGTATAATAAAGTAATTAATTAGCCTGTTGATATCCATGGAGTCAGATGCATCATTCTCCCTCCCTCACCAACATGGGAGTCGCCTATGATTTCCTAAAAGAGCCCCGGACCCAGGAAGCCAAGTCAAGACCCACTTGCTTGACTTGAAGAGTCAAGAAGTGTAAGAGCCAAAATGAGGGATGTGCGACTCCAGGCAGCTCTCCAAAATGCAGTTTATTGTATACAAAATGCAGTTTATTCCATCCAAGAGGTTACAGCAGTCCAGGGCCGTGGGTGGCAGAGCTGTGCTACAGCTGTCAGCTCCAGCTGCAGGCAGGCCTGGAGACCCTTTGGTTTTGGTTACAATGCATTATAGACTTTGCTTTGCTGAGCATCTTCATACAGGAGAACCAGTCTATACCTTAACTGTTATCTATAGCCTATCACTACTATAATTACCATATTCATGTTACTATTCTCCAATCACTAAACGTCAGTACATTACAGTTTAAGCCAGAAGTTGTTTTTCAGTTTTCTTGCAATGGAAAATTCTGAGACCTTTTTTCTATTTGCATCAATTGCTGACTTGTTTGCGTGTGCTATCTTTCTGCTTGGTAAAAACATCTTGTTTGACATGGGTTTGTCCTTTGCTCTAAGTCATAAAACCCCCCCTTCTAACTAATATAACCAAGGAGACAAAGGGTATCCAGTAAGACTGGCTCAGCAATTCTTTTCTTCTATCAAAACTTGCTTCCATCTCTAGTCCTTCTTCAGAGTCTACATTCAAAAACCTTTCTGCTAAGCATACATATCTGTGAGACCTTCTTGTCAAACTTCCATCCTTCCCAACAAAAAAGCTCTTTTAGGAGATGTCATCATGTAGGGGGATAGAATATAAGAAAATAAAGACAGTGTAGAAAGTAATCTTATCTCTAAGGAGTAGCAGCTGAGCCAATTATCAAAGATTAGGAGCAGGCCTGACTTTAACAGGCCACATCTGTGACCAGTGAGAAGAAGAGTACCATAAATGACAATGGATGGATGGATGGATGGATGGATGGATGGATGGATGGAGAACTGGAGTCAGTTGGCTACTTTGTGAAGAGGAAAGAGTCAGTGCTGTGAGGAGCTGCCCACGAGAAACACCAAGAAAGTGTGAAACTTTTGTGATAAGGAGACACCAGCATGGAACCCCTGCGATAAGATGCCAGCACCAACGCACCTGGGAGCTGCTGGCAGCGAAGATGTCGCGCACATCGCGCACGGGGTGCTTGTTCCTCCTGCGGCGCGAGCGCGAGTACGTGTCCAGCCGGCGCTGCACGGCCGCCGCCTGCGTCCTGGTCAGCGTGGACAGCAGCACCAGGTTGTCCTTGTCCCCCGCCGGCTCCCCGAGCAGCTCGGCCAGCCCCGCGTCCTGCAGCCACTCGGCCTCGGCCTCTCCCTCTGCCAGGGCACAGGGAGGAGAGAGCAGCGGTTAGTGACTCTCCTCTTTTCAGAGGGAACTACAAGGATGCGTGTCAAAATAGGAATTTTCAGATAAAAGCATTATTTCTTTTGATCCTCCTCTACACAATGCCTATCCTTGCCCAATGTTGCAAAGATAACAGCACAATACCAAACACAGACCTGTTGCCTTGTACCACCCTTGAGAAGCCAAGACTGATAAATTCTAACAAGAAAAATTCCTCCAGTGCTCACTGTTAGGGCATTTCCATCCTTTAACTTCCTGGATTCAGACAGGAAGGTTCCCTTGAGCAGGACAGCTGCTTGCTCTGAGTAGGCAACATATTGAACACCTCCTCTTTCTAGTTCTGGGATTCTTGCAGTGCTTCAGGGTCAGAGAGCAGGAGCCTGGGCTGTTCCCTGACTGGGATTGTCCCATTGTTCCCAGTGGGACATCATGGGAGGGAGCCACAGCTGTGTTCTGAAGGCCATTCTCAAAATCTCAGCCCTAATCCTAAGTGCCCAGCTGGGTATGAGGTGAAACAAGAGTTCACACAGCTCCTTGGGCAGGTGTAGCTGCGCACACAGTTCTTATTGCTCATTCCAGGTGAGGAAAAAGGAGAAGAAAGAACTGTGGAGGTAGAGAAGCTCCCAGAGGAGCTGGGTAGGAGAGGGCACAAGTGTCATTCTGGGTATTTAAGCAAGGATTGTGACAGGATATGGGAGTTAAGTCAGATGGACTTGATAAATCCGCCTTTCCATGGACTGCCTGTGCACAAGGAGCTCTGGCAGCAGCACACAGCCACCCCAGGAGGAATGGCAGGGCTTCCCTGGATCCCACCCGATCCTTCAACAGCTTTGAGAATGAACAAAAGGTTTGTGAGAAGCCACAGCACACAAAACTCCATATTTGGTGTTTGTACCTTTCCCAATGACTTGGTTGCTTCTTTTACTTTTTTAAAAAATCTACATGCATGCCTAGGTATAAACTTTTTTTTTTTTAATATCCAGATCCTGATCTGGTAGGTTCAAATGTATTTTACTTACTATACTTGCCGAACTATTTGTGTGTATCATCTGTACTCTTTAATTTTTTAAGTGGATTGGTAAGCACTTAAACTACACTCAGCTAAAGCAAAAACGTTATTTTTACCCTGTGCATTCATTTTATGGCTGGGCCTATTCAAAATATCACTAAAATTAAAGACCATTCCAGTTCCAGAAAGAAATGTGAGAAGCCTGGAGACAGTACAGCAGCATTACTCAAAGGAGCTCAATTCCACTTCATTCTTCAACACATATAAAGTTACACTTCAAACAGAGAAGACTTTTTTTTTCTTATGGGATACACTCATAAGGAAGTGCAAGTGAGAAAGTGCCCTGAGCAAGGCAGCTACTTGAAATTCAAAGATGAAAGAAACAATTTAGCAGGTGACTTCAACTTTAACGCAGCAAACACCACAAAGCCTTTATCTTTTCAATTCCATCTACCACATTCATTCACTGCAGGCACCTCCAGTACAGCCCTACCAGAGGTTATACTGGGAAAAAGAAAAATTACAACTGAACTGATTGGCACAGAGCAGCTCATTCCCACTCTTCCTGTCCTATGCAAACTTCCACCTCCTCAGTTACCACAGCAGCTCAGGCCAAGTTTTATTATTGCTGCACCAATAAAAAGCAGCCATGAAGCTCTCCTTGAGAGATTAAATAATTTCATTTTTCTGGAGAAACCTCACGTTGATGCAGCTTGCAAACACATGTTGTGACACAATTAAAACTCAGTCTTCAGAGTGTGATCTTTGTGATTTTTGGTGTCATAATGAAACAGACCTTTTTTCATCATCACACCACAATAAATAGAGCTGAACTTGAAGTCAAGTATTTCCCTAAGTGAATCTTCTAGCAAATTGCCTGGTTTTCCTCCATGGCCCTGAGTTTTGGTCTTTTTCCATGTCTGGTTCACAGAAGTTAGCAGATAACAGCATCCCCTGGGCACAGCCAGCTGTGGTCCCACTCACAGCCCCTCACCAAACACCTCCTTGTTCTGCATCCACGGTTTCACAGCAGAACAACACACAAAAAGCCTCTGGTTTATTTTGCCTTTGGGAACTAGAGGAAGTGAAGTGTATTGCTTGCAAATATTGAAAATAGCCAATTCCAGTCATAACAGGAAACTGATCTTGCACACAATCCCACAGAGCAGCCCCTCCATCGGACATCCGTGTGAGCCTGCTGCCCCAGCTGGTGCCAAAGCCCCAGATTGTAATTCCTCTGGCTGCTATTTTGGCCCAGTTATGTTTGCCAGTAACACAAAAGGAAACCAGCAAAATGGGTTGTTTCTGGGGAAAAGGGAAAAATTGGAGAGAAACAGGTCAGAGCAGAGAGATCCACAGAAGATGAGCTGCAGGTTTAAGCCTGGGGAGCTGCTGAGATTTGCCTTGTGAGTTCCAGGCAAGCAGCATTTCAGGAGGGCAAGATTAGGAATGATTTTGCAAAACTAGAGAACACCAGTTCCACAAATTTACTTGAAACATAACCTAGTCAAAAATAGCGTTCATAATAAAGTATTCACTTCCCAAATATTTAAAGGACAGCCAGAACATCCTACATTTTCAGACTAAACATTAAGCACAACTTCCTATCTAATGTTTGAAGGGAAGAATCCCCCTTTGCAGGCAGTTCTCAGCCACAGCTACATGCTGTAAGGTCACAAACAGGTATTTTAGTGCCTGTGTCCTCAGCTGGCTGTGCTGTCAGGCCCTGGACAGAGCTGGGCAGACAGTGACAGCGAGGACAGCACAAAGCTGCATTTCAGGAAAAGCTGCTTCTTGCTCCCCCCAACTGTTAGCAGGCCATGAGTACCCTCAGCACCTGTCACTGCCCTAAACCTGTAGTTACACACTGGCCCCCCATGCCACCAGGAGCTTCCCAGGACACCCCTCCTCACCCAGGGCTTGCACAGGAGTGTTCCCAGCTGGGTGTTTGCAGTACCTTATCTCCACAGCCTGTCCTGTCCCTGTGTTATCAGCAGCCATCTCCAGGCTGAGCCAGGCTGGCTCCAGACAGAGCTGCCCATCTCTCAGCGCCCCAGATTTATGCACAAAGTGAAGGTGCCTCTGGCTCTGAGGAGCCCCACAGCCTCTGTGCTCTGAGCAGAAGCTGCAGAGATGTCAAAGCCAAACCCTGCACCCTGCACACCATCCAAAGCTTCCCCACTCCCAGCACAGAGTTCATTTGCCTAAGCTCCTTCAGAGGAGGCATCAGGAGCCCCAGCCTGCCCCACCTCCCTCCCCAGGCTGCTGGGAAGGCTTTGCTACTTGGAGCATCATTTCAAGCCTGTCTGGTTTCAATGGCCAATTAAGCACTCAGTTCCTGCCTGCTAGATTAATCTACAGCATTAAAAGACTTCTCCTCATATCCCTGCTTGTACACAGTAATCAAATTGCCTCCAGCATATCAGTCTTTAGGATATCCCAGACAGTCTTTCATCTGATGGGATGGTCTCTTTTCCAGTCTGCTTCCTGGTGCACTCATTTTCTGAATCCCTTTGCATCTCTTCCACTTCTAAAAATCAAACTTGTTTCCTTTATAAAAAGGGACTTTACAGCAGACCTTCACTTTTATCATGACCTGCCAACAATGGCAGATAGGGACAATGATATTCCCACCCTGCTCTCCAGAGCCTCTCTATGTCCCCATGAGAGCATTTGGCCCTTCCCAAGGCCAGCAGCACACTGGGACTGTCACACAAACATTTCCCCAGGACACAGATCATCCTCAATACCACACAGCTGTGCAGGCAGCAAACCTGTGTTCAACGGGATGCCAACCACCTCAATTTCTTCAAAGTGGACACAGAAAGGTGTGGTCCCCACCTGGGGGATCTCTGGGTGTTTATCAGCACTTTTCAGCCCTCCAGCAACCCAGGGTGTTGTACTTTCCATGGGACTGCTCATAGGAACTGCAGTGACAGGACAAGGAGTAACGGGTTCTCACTAAAAGAGGGGAACATTATGTTGGATATTAGGAAGAAATCCGTCACTGGGAGGGTGCTAAAGCCCTGGCACCAAAGACTTGCCCAGAGAAGCTGTGGCTGCCCCTGGATCCCTGGAACTGTCCAAGGCCAGACTGGACAGGGCTTGGAGCAGCCTGGGACAGTGGAAGGTGTCCATGGCAGGGGTGACACTGGATGAGCTTTAAAGTCCCTTCCAACCCAAACCATTCTGTGATTCTATGATTCCATAGAAGGAAAACATATCCCAAAAGTTTTGGAATAACTGGCCCAGCTCCAATTATTCCAAAGCACTGGATAACAACAGTGCTCTAGAAAGTGCATTAGAAACAACCCATACACATTTCTACCAAAGAAAGATAAAAGGATATGCAGGAAAAACCTTGTATGGAAGGATTCAAGGCTTTCTGGATGTTTACTGTGGTTTCTTGAACAGGGAATTAGAGAGGGAACAGTCAGCCTTCCACAGAAGCAGCTCCCACAAAAGCCACTATGATGAATCTCAGAACCATGCACACAAACAGCCCCAGCTCTCACAGAGTGTTTACCCTACACCACCTGAGCTGCCACTGAGAGCCCCCACCCTTGGTGGGACTGATTGAAAACCCTGGAGCCTTGAACATCTCCTGGGACTGACCTTGGAGTCAGCTTTGCTCCAGAAGCCGAAACCAGGCCAGGCCAACCCTCCCCTTCTGCAGGGCATTATCCACCACCCAATTAAAATAATATCTCTATCCCTGATTGACTGATAATATTCTAACCATACTCCAACATGCTTCTGAGTCGTTCAGGTGCATAAGCAAATCTTCTGTTTCAGATGTTCACATTCCTCTCCTCACTCCCAACATTTTTGGCAACCTACCCTCCTGTGTTTTGACATCTGCAAGGCTGCATTCCTCCTGCTCGGCTTCAGCGCTTTGTTTAATATTCTCCACTTCCAGCCAAAAACTGTCCATTGACAAGTTGTCCAAAGCTTCTCCTCTGGAATTCGTGCTCTCCGACACAGGGGATGCCACAGCACTCTTTGGAGGAAGCTGGTTCATTTTCCAAGGGCAATGTCTGCTGCTGAGAGAGGAAGAGATAAGGGGAGAGAGATTAAGCTCCACGTATCACACACGGCATTCGTGTCCGACCTCCTCTGATTAATGACTGCAGCAAAGCCAAACAGAGGTAAGTGCTGAACTTCCTTTGCTTGGTGTTTAGCAATACAGACAAGGTTGGGAGTAAATCCCCCAGAGAATGGGGAAAACTGCTGTCCAAACATGTGAGAGGACACAAACCAACAGAGTGTTTTCAGCGCTGTCCCTCCTGTGACCTCCAACACATCACCTACCGCCCCACGCTCACTCCAAGACCTCCCTGCGAGTTTGCACAGGCATCTCTGCATTCACAGCCACCCAGGCTGTCCCAAGCCCAGTGCATGTGTGCTCCAGACCTGGCACAGAGAGGAGCCTGGCAGCTCACCACCAAACCCAGCAGGTTTGTGCTCCCTATGCAAAACCCAGCAGAGCTCCATCCCCTGCACTTCAGCTCACACAACAAACAGCTCACAGGGCTGAGGCCCCCTTTTCCTGCCTAGACCAGATTTTTCGGCTGTGAAACAACACAAGGTGTCCTGGGAAACCCAAGCATATGGAATTTTCTTACCACCCTGCTGATTCATTCATGCACAGCTGAAGTCTCAGACTGGCCTCATTCAGCTTTCAGCCCCGGTGCTGTGAGCTTCTCATCACTTCATAAAACAGTGCCTCTCCTAAAATGAGCTATAATTGTCTTCAAAGAGTTCCAAGCTATTTAAACCCTGCTATTTTTCAAAGACTTACCAAAAAATGGGGTAAGTGGAACATACTTATGAGAACACCTCAATGCTTCCACTGATGAATACAAAAATTAAAGAGGTGAAACACTAACTGTGGGTGGTTCAAGAAGCACACATGAACAGCCACCCCTACCAAACACAGGCCAAAATTCCTTCATAGTTTCATTAAAAAAAAAAAAAAACAGTCTAAGTCTTACACCTTGAAAACCATGACAACAAAACACCCACGAAATACTATTTAACCTCTTAGTTCTAGGAGCCAAAAGTTATAGATGGCAAAATATCTGGAAAGTTTTAGCCCCTTTCATTCCAGAAAGCCATTATTAGCAGTTCTGGCACTAACTTGCTTCAGTTGAGGAGCACTTCAGATTTTAAAAAGGTAATTTGAAGATCTAATAACAGAGACAAACATTGTAGGCCACTCTGCACTTGTGTTTACACACATGCATGCACATCACGCTCCTCACTAACACACACAGGCAGCCCCTCTCTTCTGGAGGTCAGAACCACAGCAAAGGAATCACTCCAGGAACATCTGGAGCCAGGCACAGTGTTTAGAACGAGAACCAGAGGGGTTTGCTTGTTTGTTTTACAGGAAGACAAAAGTAAAAGACTGACTTGAGCTATTCTGCCACCCAGCAGGCAAGAACAGAGGCATTCTGCTTTCCTGTTTCTGGATACCCAAATAACACTCAATATACCAATTTATACCCTGGTGGAGCACTTAAATAGGCAATCTAAGACTTATTTTTTACCTGCACAGTTCATGTCCAACTCTCTCAGTTCTATTGCAGCTGCTAACTCAATTTATTTTTTCTCTTTTCAACTTTTTACTTCTACCTTTACCCATTAGGAGTTAAAAAGTTAGATTGCATCCCTCACCTTAACCCCTCACCTTCAGTACTCCTCTCCATTTTCTCACATTTGCTGACAATCATCTCATAAGATTAGATTTGAACAAAAAAGACTCTTCAACACCTTCCTAGGATTCTATTATGAACCAGTACACAGAACTCATCACTTGCAACATGAAACTAAGTGGAAGGAGGAATTCAGATTTTTTTGAGGGAGATGGTTTTGGCCATATGAGGAACGCTGGTAGACAAACTTGCACTGAAGAGGTCTCCCAGTGCACAACATCAGGAACCATCTTGCAAGTTCTTCTACTTGCTCTGCTGCAGGCTTGCAGCAGGCACAAAACAACTCTTCTTGCCTTAAGTTTCTGTCCTATATTCCCATGGGATCTAGGTTATACAGATTAAAACAGCTCCAAAATGCACCTTTCCTTTGTGTTCAGCTTGGTTTGGAGCTGGCTGAAAACACCCCAGAAATCTCCAGGGATCAACACAGAACAGAATTGAGGTTTGCAGCTCCAGCAGAACCTGCCCCACAGACCTGACCAGGAGATGTGCTCTGTGTCACCTCTGTCACCCATGGCTGTGACAACTCCTTCCCATGCCTGCCTGGAAAAAACAACACCATTTTAAGCCAATAAATAAATAAATAAAATCTTCAGCTCTTTCCAAAGGGTGGCTCTTGATTTAGATCTCCTGCATGGCTTACCCAGACACCAGGCTCTGAATGCCAGCTTCATTCCAGGGGATGTTATTCCAAGGGGAGAATTATTTATGAAAGGCATTAGGGCACATCCTGAAGCACACCTGAGAAAGGTCACAATAAAGCCCTCACAGCCCAGGTTTCAGGCTTTGCCCTTGCCAGCAGCTTGTTTTGGTCTACTTTCAGCTCCTATCACAGAGTTCTGGTGCAAGGACAGAGTTTTGCCAAAGAGGGAATTGCTGCACCTCGTCCCACCCTGATTGTGGGATGCAAATCAGTGTAGCTTCTCACCATCCACAGTTCCCTGGCTTCCTTCCACAGCTGGAAATACAGATGTTCTTGGACTGTCTGCACCAAAAGTCCACCAGTCACACTATAAACCTACTCTAGGAAAGCCACAGCCGAGCTGCTTGTGTGCCAAACAAAAAACAAAAGCCATTTTAACTTCTTCCCCTCAGCTGGCCCATTTACTGATGCACTAAACTTGGTTTCAGCGAGCTGCAGGATGCTGATATCACACAGCAGCTCTGCAGAGGGGCAGCAGGACCCAAGGCCAAGCTCTACCAGTGTTAAACTAGAACTGTTGCTCCTGTCCACAGGACAACAAAAATCAGACCTTCACACTTAAAAAACATTTTATTTTCTGGTCTAAATTCCTTTTTTTTCCCCCTTGAACTCAGTGCACAGTGCTTTGCAGCTCCAGCTGCCCAGGTGGAAGGCTAATTTTAGATTCAGAGCACCTAAAAGATTGTTCTTCCTCATTGCATTCCCGAGTCAAGTGGAGGGCAGCCTGTGACGTTCCAGCACAGCAACAGCTGAGATTGAAAGCAGAGATTGTTGGCTTAAAATGTTAATGGCTCAGTGCAACTGGGCAAAGAGGAGGTGGAATAATCAAGTTCACTCCATTGCACTGTCAGCCTAGCAAAAAGCATCAGATTATGAAGCTTTAAAAATTAACCCAACAAAAAGGAGACTAGCAAAAAGATCTTGTTAAGGACAGCCATATAGGAAGGGCTCTGTGGAAACCCTGAGCATCTTAATTCAAATTTCTCCTCTTGTTAAGAGCACGGCCAGTTTTAACAAGGCTCCAGATTCACCTGGCACCTTCAGCCTAAGACTTCACAGCATTAATAGCACAGCTGTGAGGAATTAGGCTGGCACGGACCTTACAGTTTATTTTATTCCTTCTCCATGTGCCGTCCACGAGGATCCCTGAAGCTCTGCATGCCTGGATCAGTGTTGGGGGCTCACTGACCCTGGGCTGCAAAACGCAGCCCCAGAGGAGTTTTTGATCTGTTCCTAGATACTGTCACCACACTGCAAGTATGTTGCAAACACTCATGTAATTCTTCACCCTCTTGAATACCAAAATACAATAAACACTGTTGCTATGTTCACTCCAGGCTTGAATCACTCCCATGAGAGAGTTTCTCAAAGGACCTGGAGCTGCTTGGGCTTCTTTTCTGCTTGCTCAACATCCCTCCCTCATTGAAATACCTCTCTAGCAGATGAATAAATAAAAGGGTTCCTTCTCAAGCATTTCAAACAGACCAGGTGGCAACAAGTGCAAGCCAAGAAAATGGAATTCCTTTCAGTTTCTGCTTCCAGAAAACTAAGATGAGAAAAAGGGAACAGGAACAGAAGAACTCAGGCAGACAAGGCAGTCCTGCCACACAAGCAGCACCCAGTCTTTAAAGACATTTCCAAAGATCTGGAGCAAGCACAAAGGCACACATGGAACAAAGAAACAGACAGAAAGTCTGAATGAGCCTCGAGAGCAGCTTGGAGTAGCACAGCAAGTCACAGCATCATTCACAAGAAACCAGACCATAAGCATAGAATGTAACCATCTTGCAAGGGGGGAAAAAAAAAAAAAAAGAGAGATTAGTCTATCAACTGGTTGCAATATTTTGACAGATAAAGACCCTTAGTAAGAGAACAAAATTGTGTTAATGTCAGACCATGCACATCCGACCTGCTTTCAATTTACTTCAAGGACAAAAAAAACTCATGAGTACAAAAGCAAAAACTTGAAACAAACAACCAAAAAGTCCGTGCAGGCTCTCCTCACATTGCTTCCATGTTCTTACCCTAAGCAAGCAGTTTAAACCTAAATAAAGAAATGGTTTTAATTAAATGTTTTTAAATGTAGTTAATTCTGAAGAGAAAAAAGTCACCTAAAGATCAGCACATGACAGTCCATAACATACTCAGTTTTCTTGTTTAAAACCATGTAGTGAGATAAAGGTATCCAGAAATAACAGACAGGAATATTCAAAAAAACTGAGAAAATCCTGAAGCAGTAACTCACATATATAGTTTTTTTTCCATAGATGTAGCTGTAGCTATTTTTCTTATTCAAGGTTTAAACCTCAGTATATCAAAATTATCAATGCAAATATAAAAACAGGCTCCTGTATGAAAGAAGTCAATCTCCTCATTATCAAAACCTTACAAGAATTACACAAAATCACTATTTCATTCAGACACACATAATTACACAAAACTCTATTCCTACCACAGAGAGCAATGTTATGCAGGAGATGCCTCTCCTGCATAACAAAAATTCCACAACTTTTCTACTAAAGGTCTAAACCAGAAGAAAGCCCTACTTGCAAATCTTTAATGCCTGGCTTAGTTACCCTCAAAATACACGAAATTTTATACGTGAACACCACTACCAATTCCTCCCTTCTCCTCAATATGCACAAAAGACCTCCTAAGGCTTACTCTTGAGAGAAAATGGAAAGCACATAGTTGGTTCAGATGCCTCAGCCCAGGCCATAAAAGCAAAGAGAGGCTAATTATCAAATTACTGCAGTGGCAATGAACAGTAACTTACTCAACAGACTCACCATGCTTTCCTTTCCCTGCCTTAACTCAACCAAAGCAGCTAGAGCCAGAATTAAAGCAATTTTAACTTTAGCAGTCTGCTACTGCTGATGTACCTCTGCATATCTCTGACCAGAGATTTGCTCACATATTTCATAGTTTCACCCTGTGAGAAGTCACAGTGCCTTTAGCCCAGGCTGTTTTATCCAGCACTGCTGCCAACCCCCACTTATGTCCCCATTAAGGCATTTTTTATCAAGGACTTTGCCCACGTGGGATGGCACAGTTGAAGGTCTGTCTCTGCAGCACCAGGGAGAATAGCTAAGATGGCAGTGCCACAATTTGCTAATAAGATTACAGCTTGTTTTCAGTAACACAGCAATCAGCTCATCAAGATCTGCCATTATGCAAGCAGCTCGGGGAAGCAGCGTCATTTCAGGTTGTTTGGAAGAAGCCAGTTCTGCAAGTGATAAAGAGGACATGCCAGATCCTGCTGTGTGTGTGCAGCAATTCCCAAAGCTGCAGCTCTGCCCCGGTGCAGCAGTGAGAAGGCACAGCCTCACCTCCTGTCCTGGCACTCTCAGAGACAGCAGAAAAAGCAAACAGCAAACCTTTGCCCAGGGCTGTGTGGAGTGGAAGATGTGAATCCTGAGGCTTGTGTGTGTCCCACTGCTTCAGACTGGCAACTCCAGTGTTTTCTGTGCTGCACAAACTCCAGAGGGTTGTGGAGCACTGGCACAGAGAAGCTGTGGATATCTCATCCTGGAAGTGTTTAAGGCCAGGTTGGACGGGGCTTGGAGAAACCTGACCTGATCGTGGGCATTTCTTCCCATAAATCAGTCTGGAATTTTAGGATCTTTAAGGTCCCTTCCAACCCAAACCGTTCTATGATTCTGTTATCTCCACCAGAGCTTTGGATCTCAACTAAAGCACAGGTTGTAACTTTCCTGACAATAAGTGTCTCTATCAAAGTATTTAAGGGCAAAGAAACTCCATCCCTACTTTCTTGTCTCAGGCCTTCATCTGGAATTGATCTGTCTCTTCTCCATGTAGTAAGGGGCTAAGTAAGCAAGCTAAGGAAAAGGGAAAGTTGCCTTTAATTACAGATCTGCCTAGAGGCATCTCTGACTGAAACTCAGAGCAGAACAAGAACAGGATTGATAACCCCATGCAGATACAGCCAAATTAAAAATATTCAAAGCCGTGTTTAGCTTACACTATTAGCTTGGTGTCTGTCCCACCATGCCAGGGCTTGTTTTGGCCTCAGAAGACACAACCCATCCTCCCTGTGCATGGCTTTGTGTTTGACTGTAAGGTCACAGTGGATGAGCCTGTTGCTCACTTTCCCTGCATTAGCAGGGTAAGCCAAACAGGAAAGGGCTTTCATCCAAAGGGAAATCCTGCTGGGAGAAAGGGGTACCTGGCCAAAACAAACCTTCAGTAGTACTGGGATTTTTAATGTGATTGTGAATTGATGAAGCTGCTCTACAGGATGATTAGATGTCAGTCATTATTTAAAAGGTGGCATTCCTAACCCTGTTTTCATTTCCACTGAATCCATGTCCATTGAAACACCAGCAGCTTTGTCCATGTCCTTGGCCACAAGGACCTGCTGTGCCTTTCCAATTCCACCTATCAGCATGGCACCAGGATCCCAAACCCCTCAGCCCAGCTGGCATGGGGCTACAAACCCCACAGCCCTGTAACTCCCACACCTTGTCCTCATCCACTGCCCTCTCCCATAGAGAAGCTGCCCCAGGCTGAGCCTGTGCACAGGAGTGCCACGAGGAAAGCAGCAGGCAGGGAATCACAGGAGCGCCACAAGGAAAGCAGCAGGCAGGGAATCACTGCCCTTTGGCAGGGAACCACTGCCCTTTGGTGCCTTTGCTGTCACAGCCCCGAGCACACTCTGCCAGGGATTCTGTTGAGGTCAATGAGTCAACAGCTCCCAGTCACTGCACACATCCTCAAAACACGCTCCCGTTAGCTGAGGCACCTTGCCTCTATTGCCATCTCTGCTGGCACTTCAGTGATGTGCTCAGCCTGTGCACACCTCAGACACTCAGCTGAGGGACCAAGGGCTGAGGGACCCCTTGGCTTCCAGAGGAAAGGCTGCCAGCTGTTTGAATCCACCATGGAAAGGCTCTGAACTTATTTCCTGTGTGACCATTCATTGCCTTTTACTGAAGCAGGCTCACACATATTAAACACTTGTCCTACAGCTTCCCAAATGTTGAACTTGGAGTAAATCAGGGTGATAGAACTCATCCTTATTTCTTCTTCTAGCCCATTCTACCAGCTGTAGCTGCATTAGGGCACAGAATGAGTAAGTGCAAGTTGTTGCTCAGCTGCATGAGAACGGCCCAGAGATGCTGGAGAGGCCACAAGAGTGACGTGCTGAGCAGCACAGGGGAAGGAGGGGTGGAGAGGTGTGCTGGAATCCAGCAATGCTTCACTCACGAGAGCTTCAGGGATGCAGGAAGACAGGGAGGAGTCATCAGCTCCTCTCTTGGATTTCTCAGGGCAGAGTTATTACACATAACACAAAGTGTTTGGCTTACCCTGCCATGAAAAGCCCTTGGCTGGGATTAATAACCAATTCTGTCACCAGCTAGCCCAGGGCCACCAGCCCTGCTTGTGACCCTCCCCAGGTCCTACAAGCTTTACAGCACTGAGAGCAAGAGGAAGAGGGAGGCAGACCTGGCTCAGCAGTGGCTTTTGCTCCATGGCAGCACCAGCAGCCCCTTGCAAGCCAACAGGAATATTACTGGGAACTCAACGAGCACATCAGAGTTGCTGAACAAAAATAAGCCCTGATTACGGCCAACTAATTAGAAACAGGCTGGCATGTCCTTGCCCTATTGGACAGGTAAGTTTTAGGTCAATCCTGGGCAAGAGGCTTAGCTACACATAAACACACAGACACCTCACCTGTGGTGAGTCCTGAGTGAGAAGGTGGGAAGTGCTGCTTGGCTGGGGTTCAATGTTTGGGCAAAGTTGGTGAGCAAGTTTGAGGTTCCTGCTGCAGCAGCTGCTCAGAGCTGACCACAGAGGTGTTCTGGCAGCAGCACAGGCACTGGAACTCAACTAACTCGTTTGGCAAAAGCCTTAAGTCCTTAACAAATATTTTGATTTTTATCAAGGAAAGCCTGCAACACTGAAGGTTTCAATCTCGTTCTCTTCCACGTGGGTAATTTTAAAGTAATTTACCATATCATTTCTGTGTCAGTCCCCCTACAATTATTATTAATTTTTTTATTTCACAACTCAAATTTTGCCTGGGGTCTTCTAAAGAGTTTCTGCCATGCTTTGAATGCACAGCATCATCAAATTGGACTGGAAAATATGACAACTAAGACAGAGACATGAAAATATAAGCTGTGATTAGAAGTAAAATCACTTTCAGCACATTCACCCAAAATCAACAGATTCTGACCACTACAGCAAGGAAACATTCTAAAACTCAATGCAAACTTCTCAAGTGATGCAAATGCACCTTAGATGAATTCTTAACTCATATAATATCTAATAAACACACAGGCAGAACAGTGTTTGTCAAGCAGAGCAGTTCATATTTCAGATCTATCCTCCATTACTTGCATGATAAATCAACATTCTTACATTCATATAGAAGCACAAACCCCTGAAGAGCTGGCAGACCCCAAGGCAGGTGACCCTGTGTCACAGGGACGCATTTCAGCCCCTCAGGTCCCACTTCCCCAGCTCGCTGCACTCAGCCCAGAGAGAGCACAGAGAAAAGAACAGGGATTTTCGTAGGCTCAGCATGAGGAAGAAGAGAGGGAATTTCCACAGGTTTCATTTCATGATCAAGGCACTCAAAGCACTATTTTAAGAGCACACAATAGCCTTAGAAATTCACCTTGCTTCCCCCTACCCCATCCCAGGTGCTTTAAGGAGCAGAGCAGCCGGGACCCCCCAGGGAACGCTCGGTACCTGCTGAGCAGCTGGGCACAGCTGGCAGCCCGCACAGGTGCCAGCACCCCCCTGGCCATCCTGGAGCCACACGAGCCGCGCTTGTCCATGTCCAGCCGGGAGGAGAGTGTCGGTCAGTCCATCCGTGCTGAGCACACGCTGCGGTGACAACGGAGCATCCTCTGCTCCCTGCCCGTGTCCCCCCGCCCCGGCGGGAGTGACAGCAAATCCAGCCGAGCCCTCAAGCAGCGCTGCCCGAGGCGGAGCCACCCACGCTGGGACACGGGGGACAGCCCACAGAGAGCAGAAAATAGCAGCGAGCTCTTGCCGAGGCTGGGCTGCAGCCCGGGCTTGCTAAACATTAACGTGAGACTCAGCCCACGCGAAAAAGGAACTCCCAACGCAGCCCGGGGAGGAGGAGTCAAGCAGTGTATTCGCTCCTTTGTGTTGTACTTGAAGAGAACATCAAGAAAAGAACAAAATATCTGCCTGAGGACGTGGGGAGGGCAAGGAAAAAAAACCCGGAGTGCTTATTAAAGAAGCAATTCAGCGTTTCTTGCCGTAGTTGAGCAGTGAGTAAAGCCCAGCTGGATGTAATACACTGGTGTTGAAAGAGCAGTGTAAACTCGTAACACCCACAGAGAATATTTTGCAAAATCCAGATTATTCTTTAAAAATCTCATCGACAAAGCAACATACAAGTGAGCAAAGGGTTAAAGCAATCGGATGCCCTGTAGCTGTTCCTGACAGGTTTTGTTCTTTCCTTGTTTTTCTCTCTGTGGTGTTTCAGTAACTCTCCTTTCTTCTAGCATTTTTTTGGGATTCAGAATCCCAAAGTTAAAAGGATAAGTAACTTATAAGTAGGATAAAAGGTAAGTAACTTATTTAAGTTTTTTTTAGTGAGGGGACACAAAGCTCAATCAGCACAAGTAGCAATCCCACTCTGTGTTTGCCATATTCCCAGTAAGGCTGGGTCCACAGCTCAGCCTGTTTTGCCTCCAATAGTTATTTTAGAGACAATCCCTCATCATAAAAGAGCCCATCTTGGTTTTGTTCCTACTTACACAGCTATTTTCCCAACCACTGCTGGAGCTCACCCTGCTGCTGAAGGAACACTGCCTCACTCCCCAGCTTCAGACCCAGGGAATGTTCTTGGTCTGGGACATTTACAACTCCCCACATCAACTATGCAAAACTATTCATGGGAATTTCCTCTCTTTTCCCCCTTACCCACAATTCCTGTAAAATTTATTCCTCCACCCGTAATTCAAAGCTCAGGTTTATCTACATAGCTCCTCCTACACCAGCCCCAAAGATCAACCACAGAAAAGTGCCAGCTTGTGGAGTTCAGCTCTAACCAAAACCCAGAGACCACAGCTTTTACAGCAGCACAGAATCACACACAGGCAGGGAGCACAGAATGGTTTGGAAGGGACCTTCAGGATCACCCAGTGCCACCCCTGCCATGGCAGGAACACCTCCCGCTGTCCCAGGGTGCTCCCAGCCCTGTCCAGCCTGGCCTTGGGCACTGCCAGGGATCAGGGGCAGCCCCAGCTGCTCTGGGCACCCTGTGCCAGGGCCTTACATCCTCACAGGGAAGAATTCCTTCCTACTATCCATCATAAAAATTCACCCACTTGTGAAATTGTAGGAACACACAGAAAGCAAATTAAAGATTTTTTTTTCATCCTTTTTTGCAGCTACACAGACTGCAGTTGCTGCAGAAGTGTCACCATCATGTGTGACCACACTCACTGCTCAGGATGTGAGACATGGGAGGGGAGAGCAAGGAGGGATGACAACAAAAATGTCTGCAAGAGAAAACGTGGCTGCTCTTTGCTTTCTGTTTTTACAAAATTGGAAAAGTATTTTGTTCTCCCCAGGGAACACTCAGCCTTTCCAAACCACTCCCCACTGAGCACACCTTGCCCTGAAACAGGGGCTGGGTTCCAGGCCATTCCTTCTCCTGCCAGCACTGCAAATAGATGGGCAACACAGCCCATAACTTTATTTCTTTTGTCCCTCAGTGGTGTCCCTTGTCATTAAATGTCTTTTAATAACTCCAGCAGCCAGCTGATCATCCTTTTTAATGGGTCAATTTACAGCCAGAGCCTGCCAGACACTCCTACCAGGCAGTTTCATCCTCAGGTTTCTCATGCAGTAGTAATAACTCAGCCAGGCTTGTTGCACAACTGAGCAAATTTAAAGCATCCAGATGAAGACAGAATTCTTTAAGAGTACATTCAGCTTTGATTACTCACACAAAGAGTACACAGCACTGCTGAAAGTTTCTGATCTCTGTGGATAATCACAGCTGCACTACAGCCTTTCACATCTCCACTCCTGTCTGCCCTTCAGTTATTCATGGCATTTGAGAGGAGTAATCAGTGAGTTTATCTCCTAGATTGTGCTTATGAGAAAAAAAAAGGTGGAGGAATAGAGTCCAGCTGAGTCTGCTTTTTCAGAGTGAATCAGGATAAATATTCCAGCTCTGGTTTTGAGCTCTCCAACATGTTTCATGCTCCAGGACAGTCTTCCTGGCATCATTAGAGATGAGACAAGCTCACTAGGATAAGATTATCTGGATCACAGCAGCTGAATCTCACTCAAATATGGAGACAAAGAGACATATGATGCTCTCAGCAGCCAATTAGTTCAAATGAATCACGGGAACAGACCCAGCGCTGTTACCGTCACCACTTCAGTGCATGAGTTATTTCTGAAGGTATCCACACATCCTGCCAAGCTGACATGACTTGGCCTGACTTTTTCAGGATCAAAAGGAGGTGGCAAAACATCCGACATGCTTTTGGATAGCCAGGAATTTCAGCAGACCTAAACTCTGCAGTTTGGGAGAGCTGCTTGGCAGAGCTGGGCTTCAGAGCCTTCAGGTCAGCTGTAATTATCATTCAGGGGCTGCACTGCAAGATCATATGGCAGCTTTGCATTTGTCAAGCACCCCAAAACCAGTTTGTTACCCTGAGAAATGAATGCAAGTGACACACTGCAATGTGGAGTAGCAAAACTTCTTCAATTGTTTTTTTCTCAGGTTTATTTTGAGGGTGCATAGCGTTAGGAAAACCTGAAAATCATTTATCCCTGCTCAATCCACCACATAAGGAAATCCTCAAGTGGTGCTACCTACCCATCACACAGACTCAGTGAGATTAAGAGATTATTCCAGTTTCTGGAGTCACTAAATCAGTGAGATTATCCAAGCCCAGCTTGCTGCCAGTCTGGCAGGGAGCAGCAGAGTGAGCTGCACTCAGGTCTGGGTAAGGAAACAGCAGCTGAGCCTGACACACAACTGATTCTGCTCTGCCTGAGCTGGGAGAGAAGACCAGCACCTCACAGGAAAAGAGCTGCCAAGAAACAGCAACACTCAGGCCCTACAAAGTGTTTCCACTCATGACTTTACTGCATGAGACAAGAGCTAATCTGTCATCCTGCAGGGAGGATGCCCAGGGAGCAGGAGGATCAATAGTTAATATCAATAAATATCAGTATCTCCAGCTGCCCACCCTGTTTGAAAATGTCCTGCCTTGGGAGAATGCCCAGGGACATGCAGAATCAATAATCAATATCAATAAATATCAGTATCTCCAGCTGCCCACCCTGTTTGAAAATGTCCTGCCTTGGGAGAATGAAGGAGGTGGGGGGGGGGGGGGAAAGTCCTACTCTCTTTAGACACAGATGTATATTCAGATAAGTCAACTGTAAAGTTGCTTACACCTAATTACTACTGTAAATGTAATTTAAATCGCCCAAAACATTTCCACTGCTCAAGGAAGAGATGCAACAATAGGAGGAAGCGCTAAGACAGGAGCTATTCTTAACACTCAAAAACATTTATTCTGATGAATAACCAAGACTTGCTTATTAATGTAAATTGAATATGCCTCTGCCTCCTGGGCACTGGAGGCTGTGTAAAATTAGAAGCCTTAGCGGGTTTCAGAGGATGACCTCGTTTACCTCCCTGGTACCTCCAGGGGACTGTGCCTCGCAGGAAAATCCCTCCTGCTGGACACTGAAGGCAGAAAGCAGTCACAGAGTAATGACCAGCAGGCTGTTTGTTCACTTCCTCCAAGCACAGGGACCTATTATGCCACAGCCAGGTGACAAGGGCCACACATCCCTCTGGAGGAGAGGCAGAGGGGACCAGGGAGCAGCAGCCAGCCAGCCAGTCAGTCAGTCAGTCCCCTCTCCACTGCTGTGAGTGACCAGCACCTCGTGCCAGCTCAGCACACTCAGGGATTCTCTGACTCCACCGTGCACAGCTCATCCCCAGAGCATTTTGAACACCCTTCATTTTCACAGAAGAAGAATATGCAAAAGCTCCAGCTCCCAAGCTCACAACCTAGCTGATTTCACAAACCTCATTTTGATTTTTTGCACGTTGGATTTTCTGTTCCCTTCTGGCAAAGGGATGGGGCAATAGAGCAACAAACAGCAAGTCCATTTCTGCCACTCTTTCTTGCTGGGGTGGCCCAGTTCTCAGGCCAAAGATGTGATCGATTAGGCTGTCATCTTGTTTATTTCCTGCAGCACAATCACAGCAGGGGATGGGCTCTCTGGGATGAGCTCGCCGTGAGTCAGTTTGTGGCATCCCGCAGGAGCTGCTGCCCAAAGAATGCCAAACATCCACTCCAGGAGAAGTCATGCCCGTGGCACAGCCCCACAATCAGCGCAGCTACCGAGGTTATGAGCCAGCTCAACAATAGCTACTGATAAGCTGGGGTTTTAGCAAGGATGGTAAAACAAGGGGAGGAGAAAATAGGAGTGAATGGATCATAATTCCACACCTAAGCTATTTGTTAAGATTAAAAGTGAAACACCTGAGCATGGACTAAATACAAGTAGAGTTTTCAAAGAAATGTTTCATTTAGGAGGTTTTCTTTCTTGTTTGTTTGTTTTGATAGATTTTAGCATATTATGGCTTTTATAATGGCCTCATAAATTTTTATTTATGTAGCTAGCTGAAAGTACTTCAGAAATTAGGCTGAACACCCCCTTACCTCCCCCCCTTACTAAGCTTATCTTGTTGAATGATTACCTTAAAACATAAATCCCCTCACCTAAATACTCCAGAAAAATAATTGCCAAATAGGTCCCCACACACATTGTTATAGGGAGTTTACTTGGGAATGAAATGCCACTGTGCTCATTAGTGGGTAGATCCACCAGACTCCGAGCAGGGGAACAGAAGGACACCCCCTCTCCAGGGAACTGCATTTTCCCAAATCCTGATTGCTCCATCAGTTATTTCCAAAATAAAAAGAAGATTTAATACAGTCAAGTAGCAGAAGCTCTTATTTAGCAGCCAGGCAATTGTAAGTGCCAAT